AGTGACTTCAACTCTGCAGCTGCGGACCCACGGCCCAAAGATCTAGGAATAAGAAGGGCTTTGGGAGCAAGTGCTCTCGGGGTCTTTGGAGACCGAACCTAGCTAGACTCTATCCTAGATCAGCCACCACACAGACGCTTCTCAGCGCTTTCGTGTTTGGAGCAGCACCCATAGTTCCCTCCGCTTACTTATTGGTAAGGCCTCGGAAGCGTGGACCAATGAAAACCCTCTTCGTGTCTTCAGCTCCCTCACAGCCACCGTTCTCCAAAGCTGGGGGCGGGACACTACCACCTCTAGCCAATAGTAGCGCGGAGAAGCACCTCCCCTCCTTGGCCCGGCAATTGACTACAGCGTGCGGCCGCTGTCAACGCCGGATTGGCCAGCTGCAAGGCGGAAGCGATTGCGGGCCGATCGGCCGGAGCCGTGCAGGGGCGATGCGGGACACGGGCCGGGGCTGGGCAGCCTGGCCGGCGTTGCTGGGGCTGCTGTTGGCCCTTGTGATGCAGGTTGATGGCGGCGCGCAGACTACTGCGGGACTTGTGACATGTGGGTCGGTGCTGAAGCTGTTGAACTTGCACCACCGGGTTCGGCTTCACTCGCATGACATCAAATACGGATCTGGTGCGTGGGGCGGGGGTGAGGGGGCACTGCGGGCCAGGGGATGAGGGCTCAGGGTCACCGCCAGTCAGTGGAGTGCATTTGTTGGGCATTGTTGGGGGCAAAGATGGGAGGAGGGTGTTAGTTGGAGGTGGTCAAGGAAGGGAAGGGTTACTGGGATAGAAGAACGGGTGGGTGGGAAGAGGCAATAGGGCAAAGGGTATGGGCAGGGTCTGGGGGCAGGGCCTGAGGAGAACTTGAAGATATCCGAGGTTAATAGTGTCCCTTGGGGTGGGGGGCGAGGCTGAGCTGAGACAATGTTGGCCCTCAGGTAGCGGGCAGCAGTCGGTGACTGGTGTGGAGACGTCTGACGACGCCAACAGCTACTGGCGGATCCGTGGTGGCCCAGAGGGTGGGTGCCCACGTGGTGTCCCGGTGCACTGTGGCCAGGCGGTGAGACTCACACATGTAATGACCGGCAAGAACCTGCACACCCACCACTTCCCGTCTCCACTATCCAACAACCAGGTGAGCCTGGACAGTGGCCGGCCCCACAAAGGGCTCCTTCCTAGAATGTGAGGGACTCCAACACCCTTTGTGAAATGAGAACTCAATTCCAAAAGTTTTGTTGACCCAGAAGTGCTTGGCTAGAAGGAGCTCCCAACCTAACCCAAACCAAGCCCCTTGTCATTGAGTCGATTCTGATTCATAGTGACCTATATAGAGTTTGGAGACTGTAAGAACCCTAGTGTGGCACTGAAGGATAAATACTGGATTGCTAACCAAAATGTTGGTGGTTCAAACCCGCCAACCTGTCCTTGGCAACCCTATACAGGTCACTGTGAGTTGGAACTGAATCAAGGACACTTAATAACAAGGGAGTAGACAGCCTCACTCACCTGGTTGGGTCACTGGCTGATGTTGCCATTAACATATAAATGCCTAACCCAGAGAGTACCCGGGGCTCCCTAGCCTATCACCTATACATAAGAGAAGAGCTCTCTCTGGAAGACCTTTGGGATGGGGAATCAGACTGGTTTCTGAAAGATAAGTAGAAGTCCTCCAGTCCACAGGGAGGCCTTTCCAGACCTGGCAAAAGCTTGTGCCTAGACATATAGTAACTCAGGGAGGAAGGGACATAGGTAGAGGACACCTTCAGAGTTGACAGAAAAAACGTTTGAGATCAGTAGAGACTTTGAGACAGACTTGCTGTGAGTCAAATTGACTTGATGGAAATTGGTTGGATTATTATTTTTTGGTCACCCTGGAAAAGCTGCTCTGGTGGCACAGTGGGTTAAAAAGCATTGAGCTACTAACCAAAAGAAAGATCGGAGGTTTCTCTGAGGGAGAAAGATGAGGCAGTCTGCTTCGGTAAATATTTACAGCCTCAGGGACCCTATGGGGCAATTCTAGTCTATCCAATAGGATCTGTATGTGCAGAATCAACTTGTCAGCAATGGGTGGGTGGACCAAATATGGCATCAATCAGTCCTCCCACAGCACTCTCTACCCAGCTGAGTTCAAGAAATCATTGCAATGGAAACACAGAACTCAAGACACCATACTCACATTTATGGGGTTTATTAGGGAAATTAACAGATTACAAATTCAGAGTCAGAAATGCTTGGGGCACAGTTCTTTCAGACAGCCTCCTTAGCCTTGCCTACAGGCAGGCCTCTCTTTGCGGGTCAAGATGCCCACAGGGCACACTACCATAAGCCTTTAAGCCTTAGCCTGAAGGCGCTCAGCTCACCTCCATGGGTCAGCAAACCTAGCTCCTCCAATTAAGTATCTGGAGGCACACCACTCTGCAAGAAAGCCTCCTGCCCAGTCACTCAGCTTTACTTGCTCCATGGGTTGGGAAGCCCACCACTCTTGTCTTGACCTCTGACTCTTGGTTCTACTGCTGCTGCTGCTTTTCTGCCACTCCTCTTGTGTTATCGTTTTCTGTCCCTGAGTCAAGGAGGTTTGGTGTGCAGACATCTTTGGGTCCAAAGGATGCATTCCACTCCTGGCTCTTCATCTTTGATGGTAGTGAGATTCCCCTCTCTTGCTTCTGAAATGGCTCATTTTATACTCATGTCAAACCTCCACGTTTTCATAATGAACCCTGGTAATGGTAACTCACAACTCAATCATATAATCCATCAACATTCTCCCCACCTTCTCTTTTTTCCTGATCCATCAGGAAGAAATAGTTTTGTATGAGTTACAAAGACTGGTTATAAGAGACAGATGAAATAGTTCACTGTACCACAGTGAACTTTAGGCTGAGGGAGGCTCCTCTGAGGGCTTAAGAATGGGGAAGGGAGATAGGAGACTTCTTTGATAGGACCAATGACAGGGCGTGCATGGGCCTATTGGAGGAGCCTGTCTTTGTGGAGCAGCTGCTGGGATGGGAGTTGTGGTATTGATGTCGCAGCTGTGGAAGTGGAAACTCAGGGAGGTGCAGGGAAGGGCCATGGCCCAGTGTACTAGGCGATAGTTCCTCTACCAGACAAGGGGCCCCAGGGGACTAGTGGGCTCTCTTCCGGTAACTGCTGCTCCCTCCCTTCCCCACATAGGAGGTGAGTGCCTTTGGGGAAGACGGCGAGGGTGACAACCTGGACCTGTGGACAGTGCGATGCTCAGGGCAGCACTGGGAACGAGAGGCCTCTGTGCGCTTCCAGCATGTGGGTACATCGGTGTTCCTGTCAGTCACTGGAGAGCAGTATGGGAGCCCCATCCGCGGGCAGCATGAGGTGCATGGCATGACTAGCGCCAACTCGCACAACACCTGGAAAGCCATGGAAGGTGTCTTCATCAAGCCCAGCGCTGAGGCCTCCACCTCACATGATGAACTCTGACTTGAGAGAGCACCTGGACTGGGCAGCAGGGCTGGGTGCCCATGGGGCTGCTTGGTGGCAACTTTGGGATGGTAGGGGTCCTCAAGTGCCTTTGTGATTAAAAGAATGTTGATCTGTGGTTGCTGTTTCACTGGGAGCCTGGGGGTGAGCAAAAGATTTCAGCCCCTCCCTGACTGAAACATCCTGCTTCCTCTGCAAAATCTGCAGAAGGGGCTCTCCCATGTCTGATGCTCTTTTCACACCCTGTCTCACTCCTCTGGTGCTGCTGTAACTTAAATAACTAAGGAGTGGCTTTAAAACAACCAGATGTTTATTTTCTCCTTTGTGAAAGCTAAAAGGTCCTTGAGTGGTACAAATTGTTTGTGTAAGCATTGAACTGCTAACAGCAAGGCCAGCAGTTCAAATCCATCAGAGACAAAGATGAGGCTGCTCCATAAAGTTTTAAAAACAAAACACAAAAAAACACTCAGGCCTATTTAATAATTTACACTTCTAAGGGCACATTCTGCAAGTCTGCCTCCTGGCCACCAACTCTTAGTCTCCTTCTCTTCTCATGAATCTAGAGTCCTCAACTGCTCCCCATCTCCATGACCCCATCTCTGCCTCCATCTCTGACATCACTGTTTCCTGGATAGGGTCCCACATTCTGCTTGTGCTCTTCTCCCTTGATGGTCCTAGGGTCCTGTTTCTGGACTGTAAGAAGTTAGAAATTTTGTTACAAAACTTCTAACTTTACAATTGTGACAGTCGCAATTAGTCATGATAACAATTATTCACTATTGAATCATACGAATCTTATCCCCATCTCTTTTCAGCAGACCCTGAAAAGATGAAAACTACTCACTGGGGATTCTTTCTCCCCACTCTCCATATTCTTAAATTCCCTCTTGAAACTTTGTAAGCCAGTCACTTTGTGCGTTTATCACCCCTTCATTTTAGGTAGCCAATGTCTAAGTTGCTGGTCCCAATCTACCCTGTATACAGAGGGGATGGCATTGATACTTGATGTGAAGATTCCTTCCCTCTCTGTTGGTATTTAGAGTTACTACCTCCATGAGTATAGGTCAGGTTCATCAAATTGCAGTAATTTACCCTAGTTTCCTTTATCAAAAAGAAAAAAATATATATATTTTTTTAATCTTCCTCTAGTTGAGTTCTGATTATCAAGCCATTGAGACTAGGTCAAATGGGTATTGTCTGCAAGTTTGGGTGTTCTTGTGCATCTCCCCTCATTCATATCAGCTGGATGCTTCACTCTCAGCTCTAGCCCTCTGTGGTTATGCCCTTGTCCATGGGCTCAAGTGTCCCCAGGTCTCACCACACTTTAGACAAACCAGCCCTTCCTCTTCTCTTTCTCATCTCCAGGTCAACGGGAGTCAGTGGATTGTCGTTGAACTCAGCCCTTTTCTTCATTGCTGCCTTTCCCCCTCTTCCACTCACCAGCCTGTTCAGTCTCAGAGGGGAGTTTGTCCTGAAGGAACTTGATTGCTTGCCTTGATGGCTTCCTGGTAAATAGTTTGCTTATTCTTGTAGTAGCCAATCATGCTGACATTTTTTTTTTAAGTGTTTTATTGTGAATTATATGATAGTTTACATGAGAGAACATTAGTTTTATATTCATTCTATCATATATCGTATCATTGCCATGGTTACAATCCTCTCCATGCAAAGGGTATGCTCTGCAAGCCTGCTCCCTACACTACTTCCCCACCCCAGTCTTCAGCACACAGTCGCTCTCCCTCTCTGATCTCAAGTCCCCAGCTGCTCCATCACTCCAAGTCATCATCTCTGCCTCCATCTCAGGCATCACTGCTTCTCTGGGTAGGGACCCGATCTCATCTCTACTCCGTTGATGGTCCTAGGGACCTCCGCTCCTAGACTGGAAAGTTAATCACGCCCTTCCTTGCTATAAAACGTCTGCCTTTACATTTCCAACCTTCACAATCAGTCCTGATAACAAATATTCACTATTGTATCACACAAGACCCATCTGCATTTCATTTCATCAGCTCCGCCTAGGCAGATTGGATACTACTCACTGGAGATTCTGCCTTCCTCCAGGCCCCTGGCTCTAGGTTCCCTCTTGAAAGCTTGTAAGCCAGTCACTTCTTGCCTTTGTAGGCCCCCCTCCCCATTTTGGGTAGCCAATGTCCAAGTTGCCCATCCCTGTCTACTTTGTGTGTGGAGGGGGTGGGAATGATTCTTGCTGTAAGAATTTGTTCCCTCTTTTGAGCTACTGCTTCCATAGGTCAAGTTCATCAAATTGTATCAGCTTACTCTTCTTTTCATCTACTTTCTTCTGGTTGAGCTCTGATCATCCAGTCATTGAAGCCAGGTCAAGTGGGTATTATCTGCAAATGTGGGTGTTCTTGTGCACATGCCCTCTCTTTTTATCAGCTGAACACTTCACTCTCCACATTGCAGGGCTTAGTTCGCCACTTCATTGCTGTTTTTCCCTTACTTCCCCTTATCGGTGACGAGTGTGGTCACCAATCAGAGTGTGTATTCCCATTGAGTCTTAGTCTTGGAAGGGGGTTTGCACTGAGGGGACCAGACCACTTGCCTCGATGTTTCTTGGACAAGCAAACTGCCCATTCCTGTAGTAACAGTCTGTCTGCCTCCGTTGTTCTGTATTTTTCCTGTAGATCTTTCTTTCAAGAAGTATCTTCTATTCTTCTAGCCGTTCCAGGCTGGTCTGCTCATCCTTTCAAGTGGAAATTTCCCGTCTCTGGAGATCTGGATGTGGTTCAGGCTTCTACTTATAGTCTTATGTATTGTAGAGGCTCCACAGGAAGCCTCCTTCATTGGGCATAATGTAGCCCCATTTTAGGTATTCCAATCAGTTATAGGCAGAAGACAGACTTACAACATGCTGACATTTTTGTTTTGGGTTTTTCCTGATGATCTTTCTTTGAAGATGTATCTTCTATTGCTCTAGCTTTTCCAGTCTGGTCTGCTTGTCCTTGCTAGTGGAAATGTCCCACCTCATAAGGTTCTGGATGGGACTCAGGATTCTACCTAAGGTCCTATACTTTGCAAAGGCTTTGCAAGACGACTATTTCACTGGGCAAGTTCTAGAAAAGATGGGCTTACAAGTTCTTTGTAATCGTGGTTCCCAACTTTCCTTTCTATCCCACTCAAGTGTCTATTTTACAGTAGTAGGCAAAGGAAACCAATATTCCTAAGACAGTAAAGCATTTTGGTATCATTTCCCCTCTTCAGACTATGCCTAGATCCCTGTATCACAGAGCCCTGTTGTTCCAGGGTTGAGCACGCATCACTATTTACCTCTGTCCCACTTAGCCCATGAAAACCTGTCTCAGTGTTCTGATCTATCTTGTTCTTCCGCCTCCTTCCCCTTCTTGTATTGCCCTCCCCAACACCCAAACTAAACCCCCCACCCAACTCCACTGTTGTGATTACCTTATATTCCATTAACACTTCACTCCATTTAAGACAGTCTATTTTATCCTGTAATCTACCTGACCTTCTCACCACCTGGATCTCTATTTCTCTATATTTACCGTCTTTCACACTGTAATTGTTTTAATCATAGACTGACCCCCCAGATCTTCTGTTCTTAAAATTTTATTCTGTTCTTGACAGAATAAAGTTTCACTCTGAACTTGTCGAGTTCAGGGTGATATTGCCACATACGTCATTCTCTGGCTGTTTTCTGTACTTGTTGGTTCTCAGTCCACAGAACTTACTTTAAGATGTTTTTCATAGCAGGATTGGCTTTGGCAAAATCCCTAGCTACAGTTTATCCTGGAATATTTTGATTACACCATCATATTTGATTGATAGCTTTGCTGGGTAGAGGATTCTTGGGTGGCAGTTTTTTTTCTTTCAGAGTTTTATATATGTCTTCCCATTGCGTTCTTGCCTGCATGGTTTCTGTTGAGCTATCCGAGCTTAATCTGATTTGCTTGCCTTTGTACGTTACACTTCTCTTTTCTGCTTTCAGGATCTGTCCTTATCTTTGATTTTGGAGAGCTTGATTTTTATATGTCTTGGTGATTGTCTTTTATGGTCTATCCTTCCTGGGGTTCGTTGAGCTTCTTGTATGCTTTTCTGTTCACTTTTCAGTATTTTAGGGAAGTTTTCTTCCATTAGCTCTTCAACTATCTCCTCTGTTGACTTGTGGGATTCTTCCTGCTCTGGAATGCCAATAATTCTTAACTTATTCCTCTTCATGTTCTCCAATATGAATATTAGGCTTTCTTCAGATTTTTCTAATCCTTTTTTGTGCTTGCTCTTCTATCTTTGTAGTGTTGAGAGATTTATCTTCTAGCTCACTAGTTCTGGCTTCTATCTCTTCAGTTCTACTCCTTTGCCCTTTCAGTGTATTGTCCATTTCTGATAATCTATTAATAATTGTTTGGACCTCTTT